GGAAAGAGGGGTCAGCTGGAGTCAGAAAGCAGATGGAAACATTTCTCAGGAACACAATAGCATAAGTGAAGGAATTGTTGAGTAATGTGGGAAGAATAAATCCTCAGCACAAAACTCAGTTTGCACATACACACAGTATATCATTGAATGTTTTCCAGGCCTGATTCTTCCCCAAGTTTCAGTGTGTTCAGTAGTGTTACTCCTGATACTACAAATGCGAGAGCAGAGTCAGACTCTATACATTTAGAGCATGTAAGCAGTTAATAAAACATTCCTCATCTCTTTATAATACAAGCTGGACGACTCAGATACACATTTAAAAAAAAGAACTTGCTTAAAAAAGAAGCAGGTTTGGTTTCTTTTGTGTTTCCAAATAAAAGAAATGTGGTAGGTAGGCTCTGCGAGCTGGCTGTATTCCTTTAATGCCTTGTCATTGGGTTTGAAAATAAACTGCTGTGGGGTCCAGTGCTGCAGCCCAGTGCCTGTTTCCCCTGTGGCACTAGCCATGCTATCTATTGCAACAGCAGCTTGCTGTTACCGCTGGCATCCTTCTTTACTGCCTGGTACAGCCAGAGATGCTGTCTCCATGGTTAAAGCCCTGCCTGGCTTGTTTTGCCTGAAGGGTCTTTCCTCGCTCTCTCCAGCTGTCGTAGCATTAGGGAACAGTCCCTGCATTCGAGTGTCTGGGCAGCGGGACAAGTTCATCCTACTCCCCTTTTTTGTCCCAGGAGCCCTGCAGGGTACGACATAAGGCCAGGAAGCCAAGTTCATTCCCAGGGTAATGACATCAAAGGGGCAGAATTACCTAGAGGTTAGAATCATTCATGCTTATGTTTGCAAGGAGTGCGAGAGGGGTTATGCCTTTACTGGTATAACCTGATAGTGTGGCAGGGAGGTTAAAACTGCTTTGTCCAAGTTGACATTAATCAAGAGAACTCAGTATTTTCCCTCAATTACTTTGCATGCACTGTATATAGGCCAGACAGGCTGCATTAGCCAATGCAAAATAAATCAAAGCTGCATTAAAAATCCAAGACCAACATTTCAACTGACAAAAGTTCAGCATGTCTCAGTTAAAGAGCTTTGTTCTTCAGTTTAAATCAAGCTGGCTGTTCAAGAGACCTGAGTAAACGCATGCAAAAGCCCATCACTTGTTAGCACTTTCTACACGCAGCCTTGGAGCACAAGAGTATTATCAAACACAGATGTGTTATCTCATCGAGGGAGCGTCATCTGGCAGCAAGCTACCTCACCTGACCCAGTGCACTTTTTGAGTCTGCCCTTGCTGCAAATTAAGACATATTCATTTAAACAACCTTCGCTCCCATTTAAGCTGATTTTTACCTCATACTAGGGAGAAAGACAGAGGATAGTCACATGCAGACAGACAGTATACTGTGGTAACTGTCAGCAGCACCCTGATGAATTTATGCAAGCATCTGTGTCATTAGCAGGTTTGTGCCTCAATGCCATTTCGTCACACTTGTCTGTTTAAAGCCAGGCTCAAAGATTTTAGCTGTTTCCTGAACCCAGCTGTAGCTGAAGCCTGTGTTTGATGGCCAGCGCTTCAGTCAAACAGGTTAAAAAGTTTTCAGGCAGAAACAACGCAATATTTAATTTCATTTTTGCATCCTCACTCTAGGACTCTCCAACCAATAAACTACTGTATGCCAAGGAGATCCCAGAGTATAGGAAGATAGTGCAGCGATACTACAAGCAAATTCACGATATGCCCCCACTCAGCGAACAGGAAATGAACGCGCACCTCGCCGAGGAGTCGCGGGTAAGCGGCACGCGGAGCGCAGCGGGCTGCGGGACGGGACCCGGCGGTGCGCTCGGACCTCGCAGGAGGGGCAGCGTTTCCCTCCTCTGGCCGACAGTCAGTACCAGTCGAATAGGGATAGGTGGTGATCAGCTACTGCTTTGACAGATGCTGGAAGAAAGACACAAGAAAGGATATTTTGCTTCAAATTTCCAGGCATAAACTTCATCTGACCTAATTCCAAGCATCTTTAATTACTGCCAGAGCTGCAGTAAACAGCCGTGAGTTAGCTTGAAACTAACTAGCTTTGGCACCAATGGGAGTTTAATGCCAGAGAGCCAGCAAGTTTGGAAAAGGAGCTCTGCAGCCCTCAGCTCCTCGGCCAGCTGGCCCCTCGGCTACCCAACTGCTACGGCCCCAGGTCCCTGACTCCCTGGCAATGCGTGAGCCGCCAGCCCTGGCAGCCGGCGCCAATGCTGGGAGCCTGGGCTCCGCGGAGCTTGCCAGGTGCCTGCTGGGGCACCAGCTACAGGAGCTGGCAGCAGCTCCCGGCTCCGAACCCTGCCAGGCTTCTGCCACGGCTTCATCAAAAATCAAACCACCTCCCTGCGGCGTTCTCGCCTCAGCCACCAAGCAAGTTTCTTCCATCAGTGGTCCTCTACCCCGCGCTGATGCTACCCCATTCTTTTAAATGGCTTTGAGAATTGATGGGTGAACAGGGCTATCGAATGTGGTCATTTAAGGCTGACTTTATAAAGATAAACACTAATTCTGATATAAGTAAATGCAGCTTCCTCACAGGAGGAAGTCAAAAGTCCAGCTGCATTAATTCAGCAGTAAAAAGAATACCCAGTCTCAACCTCTTAATCTAATCTATGCCTGCTGGTTGGGCTTGAACTCACTTGCTGCTTCAGCTTAACATGCATCCCCTCTTTGTTTTGTCTTCTGTAAAGAAATATCGGAACGAGTTCAACACCAATGTCGCCATGGCTGAGATATACAAATACGCCAAGAGATACCGCTCCCAGGTAAGCGAGTTCAGCTGTACTCAGGCCTCGGATTACCTATGCAGGAAATAAGCAGTATTTTGCGAGTGAGTAATCAGATGCTTGCATCCAGTCCCACCAAAAAGGAATTTTTTTGTCTAATCCCATGCACATATATAATAGATGCATGCACACACACACACACAGACATGCTCTGCCATTCCTTGGTTGATGACTTGTTAGAAGATAAGGTCAGCTATTCCCAGCTGATTTTAACAGTGTTTGCTGTGCTAGTTTGAAGCCAGTCTCACCAATGTGTAGATCCCCAGATGCTTTTAGGAAGGCAGAGAATCCTGATGCAGTCCACACCCAAAATAATTTACCACCCCCTGCCTTCTGGCACAGGCACCAGCCCTGGCTAGTTCCTAACCCCATTACACCCCTGCAATGCAGGGCTAGTTCTGCCCTGTGAGGAGCAGGTTTATTACAGTGATTTTTCCATTGTATTTTCCCCATCCACCTCAGTCTCAGCACAGTAACTCAGCTGTGTCCTAGAGCAACCGAACTGTGCCTAGGAAGTGCTGCACACAGGGGTTGTGCTGCAGGGCTGCAGGCTGGGCTCTCCCCATCTGGAGAGCACCACGGGCGGCCCTAGGTCCAGTGGGACTTGGGCTTAGCAGAGATTTTTTGGGGCGGGGGGCAGGCACTGGGCTCATGGACACTGCCTCATGTACCCCATCTCCTGCAGATAGTGACTGCGCTGGACTCGAACCCCACAACAAAGCGCACTCAGCTCCAGCACAAGTTTGAGCAAGTGATAGCGCTCATGGAAGACAATATCTACGAGTGCTGCAGTGAAGCCTAGGGCTGGCTGCAGCCCTGTGCAGTGCCGTAGGGAACATGCCTTTGACTGTGGATACTTCTTGGATTACGTCCCATCAGGGTCATTCTGAAACCAGCCTGGTGGTGGGGTGGACCTGGCCCATGGCTGAAGGACTCCCTCACGTAACAAGAAGCCATGAGACACCTTTATGAGCAGCTTGAAAACCCTCTGATCTGAACCGTGGCATCCATAATTTATTCGCTGTTTCAAGCCAGAAATGGAGGCATGACACTTGTGGCAAACTCAGTTAACCACTTCTTTCTAATCAGCTCCTGAGCAGTCAACTCCTTGCATTCCTGTTTCCAGAGGAGACTCCTCACAGACAAGAGACCAGGCTGCAGAAGCTGTAACAATAGCTGCAAAGCAGAAGGGTAGCCTCAGGGAGTCACGAGCAAAGACGGCAAAGGCTGTCACAGCAGTGGCAGAGCTCCCTTTCACACTATCCCTCTGGTATCTGTGTTTTTCCAACACCAGGGACTCTCTCAACTGTTTCACTATCTGCTGCATTCTGTGTATTTGTGTGCCTTTTATTTTTGTACTGTATGTGTAAACATAACCACTCCTTCATCTGAGACTTGGGCAACATAGGGAACTTGGGGCTGAGACAAAGCAATTGCTTCCTAAGTAGCTAAGGCATGTTGAAAGCACTTTATCCCCTAATGGAAACAGCTGTTACCTAGCTGGAGGGAGTGTATTAGATGTTAGACCCCTGCTGTTCCTCCTTCCCCGGGGTTCCCAGATCCGTGTGCGCAGTGAACTAGAGTTTGCAGGGGAGTTGGCAAATAGCCCCTACCACGCCACCTTTCAGCCAGCTGGTCACGGGCATCCTTTCTGCCCAGGAGCAGGAAACCAGACAAAGCAGGTGAGGAGGAACGAGCGCTCCTCTGTTACTGTGGTCTCCCTACCTTACCAGGTGCATAAACGCATATGGTGTGGACCTAAGGTCAGCTCAAGGTAACACAAATCATGTCAGGATCGCAGAAGTCAGCTCCTACTTACACTGCTCGGACAAAGCAGAACCGAGCCGCGTGCTGGGCAGGCCATCAGGTAGCATCTTCCCTCCTCTGCCCCACGCGGCAGCAGCTCCCTGTGCTCACCCCCTGCGCCTGTGAACGGGCCAGCCAGCAGCTCAGGCACCTGTGACCGAGGTGAACTGCAGCGAGGACAGCGCTCTAGGGGTCTGTTTCCAAACCAGCTTGTTTTGCTTACTCTGACCCAGCACCCCATGGTTCTCTGCTGTGAGAAACCAAGAGAGCACAGTCTTGCAGCGCCTCTAGTCTTTTCTCAGAGCATAAAAGCAAAGGGGCTATAAGCTCAGTGCCCCTTACAGCCCAGTGCTCTCGTGCACGCAGGCCAGCAGAACAGCTCCAGCATCACAAGTTACAAGCAAAGATAGAAAGTGTGATAGTCCTCATTAAACTGGTACCAGCATGCAGCGCCCCGCTGCAGAGGCGAAACAGGGCTCATCCGAGACCCAGAAACTGCACTGCCATCTCCGCGTTTGCCCTGGGCAGAGCTCCCCTCTCCCAGCCTCCGTGGCCCGTTTTCCTCTCTGCTGGCAGCTTCTCCTGCCTTTCTGCAGCCCAGGGAGCCAGGACACCTCTGATCTTTCCAGCATCGTCCAGGCCCCTCTTTAGATGCAGGGCCACAGCTGACACCACCTGCTTGAAGCATTCACCTGCAGGCCAAGGCAGTCTGCCCACGAAAGCTAAACCTGTAGGCACCATATTTTCAAACTGCCAAATAGAAAAAGAAAATGTTACTACCTCACTCCAGGCAGGGTCTTAAGAGGAGCCTCCATTACCCATCCAGCTGGCAAGGATGCAACCTGGTATCAGATGACTTCGGTCCACCAAAACTCCTCCTGGGTGGCTCATTGCTGCAGACAGGTGGCCTCCATCCCATAGTTTTCGGTAATGCCGCAAGCATTTGTCAGAAATTGGAACATCAGAATTGTGTATGTGTATATAGATATCTATTTTAAAACAAATTATAGACTTTATCCAGTACATTAAAGGGGGGCGGATTTAGGGAGGGGAGGGGAAAAGGGAAGAACAGATTTTTTTTTTTTTTTAAATAGAGCTACAGAAAAAGTACATACACTGTGGAGTTTCAATGTCTTTGCTGAAGATGTGACATCAGAATAGAAACTTTTAAGAATGTAGCTGGGCTACATTTTATTTTGAAAGTAATTTCAAAAAAAAAAAATTCTTGAATTTTTTTCCTTTAGAAACTGTGAATAGCCGCCAGAGATATGGGCAGGCCCAGTACAGGGAAGGTGAAAGGATTAAGGTGGTGGAGAAAGTTGAGCTTGGCTGGAGGCGGCAGACAGAGCCATGGAGCGATAGCCCCATGTTGTTGCAAGGGAAGGATACAGGCGAGCTGGTAGTGAGCGCAACTTGCCTCCAGGTGATGTGACTGGGCCATGTATTGGGGCCTATTGCTTTATTATTTAATTTTTTCCAAAGCAAAAACAAAAATAAAAAAAGTAATTGCTACAACCATTTCAAAGGACGAGAAGCTTGAGGGGTCGCAGTGTTGCCTGGAGCCCCCGAGCCCTTTGTAACATGTTTTTAAACTTTGGCACGCGTTGTGGTGTAGCGCCCTTACCTGCTGTGTAGTGGAAGTGGCAGACTCTTGGAAAAACCTATCTTTGTAATAAAAACAAGGTGCTGAAGCCATGCGCAGTGCGGTTCCTGCCCGCACGCGGAGGGCATGTGCGAGCGTGAAAGACGTTTGTGCAGCCCCTGCGAGGTCGAGGCAGGTCTCGCCCTCCGGCGAGGGCCCTCAGCTGCTGTGCTGATAGCCAGGTTTATCTGTATTTTTATTTTTTTCCTCCTGCCAGAAGCTGATTCTTAGTAAAGCTAGATCTAGCCATGTAATGATTGACCTCCTCAAAGCTAAAGAGCCTCTCGTTTTCACACGAGAAATAACGAGAGGGGCACGGCTCTTACCTTGGTCTGTCGCAAGACATTGCCTTGAAGGGCGACCACCGGAGGGTTAGCTGAAGCCTGCTCAGTTACTGCTGCAGGTCATGCCCCAGCAGGGCGCATGTTCCAGCCCCATCAAAGATGCAGCCACAAGGGCAAGGCCAAAGTTAGATGAGAAGTTAGGTCACGCAGCTGTTGCTTATGCCCAGAAGCAAGGCCAGGGGCCTTGGAGGGCATCAGCAAGGCCAGCTGAAGATTAGCCAAATCCTCTTTAGGCAGTTTTGCTTCCCCATAGTTTCTCCTGCCCCGTAACTCCTTGCATTACCTGGCTGACCTTCAGAAGGGCTCTGTTCTGCGAAAGCCAGGAGAAATTCAGGCATTTTAAGCTATTAATGTGAAAACATTAATGTGTTGACCTATAGATGCTAGCAAGGCAGGCTTAGCAACATTTCACCACTTGGCGTGGAGAAACAAGAGCACCAACACTGCCAAGGTCTGCAAAACACCCCACAAACACTCTTTTTTTCAGCCCTGAAAACACCTGGGTCCCCAC